CAGGGACAGTGTCAACATTTGTAAAAAAAAATAGTAGGGGTATTACAGGATCTCCCTGTAGCACCAGCTGACCTGGAGCCCCCTATGTAGATCAGGCTAGCCTCAGTCTCACAGAGATCTGCCTGCCTCTGCTTCCCAAGAGCTGGGATTAAAGGTGTGTACCACCACACCTGTCTAAAATACTAGTTTTTAATGTGTGATTGGTTGTCACCCCAACCCTTAGGGGTAAGAATTGTTAGCCCTTTGCAAGTCAGAAAACCAGAACTCAGAGAAACAAAGTGACCTGTCCATAGTCTTCTGCAGGAAGAAATGAAATATCCTGTTGGGTTTTTTTGTTTGTTGTTTGTTTTTTGTCTTTTTTGAGGCAGAGTCTCTCTATAGCCCTAGCTGGCCTGGAACTCACTATGTAGACCAGGCTGGCCTTGAACTCACAGAGCTCCACCTGCCTCTGCCTCCCGAGTGCCCCGGGATTAAAGGCGTGTGCCACCACACTCGGAAAATATCCTGTTGGAGCAGACTAAATGTCAATGTAAGTTTCCCTATCTGCTGAGGGAGTCTGATCTTGTAGGAAGAAGGATGTCTTGTGTAAAGCAATTTCATTTTTGTCTTTGAAGTTGGGTAAGCCCTGAGCTAGACTAATAGGTCTGGAGCTTCTTTGGGCAAGTTATTCTGGGGAATTTTTGATTATTTGGTTGAATTATGCTTTACCTTATTCCATAAAAATTTGAAATGATAGCCAGCAAAATAAACTACAAAATTTGGCAAGTCCATGTCATAATGATGGTTAATATGTATTGGTTGCTTACTGTGTTCCAGACATAGGTCTGAGTCCTATATAAGAGTCATTTGCATAAATTTCACAGTGAGATAGGATTAGGCAAAGGAGACAGACTCTGCTATCATCCTCACCTGACAAGTGAGGAAACGGAGGCTGAATGAAGGAATGAATTACTTGGTCCAGTGTTACCCAAGTAATAAGGGACAGTGTTAAGACTAATACCCAGGCAGTCTGGTCTCAAAGTCTTTGGAATGCAGCTCTGAGTTTAATGCCTCTTATTCCAGTTTTGATTTTTCTGAGAACCTAATCAGAATCCTGGTGCAGAACTGCATGGAAATAACAGTGTGGGTTCAGGGTTTGGCTGCCAGGACTTGAAATCAGAGTTCCTATAAGCTTGTAAAATAAGGGTAAAAAGTATCATTTTTGTAGAGTTGCTGGCAGTATTGAATAGGACAGTGCAGGCAGAACAGTGCTAAGGTACATAAATGTCATCATCGTTATTGTAACCATCACTCAGGGTGCGTGCACTCCCCATCCCTCCACACAGGTGTGCCACCACTGTTTGCTAAGCCTCTGGACCTTTGCAGTCATTTCTCTACCTAGAATACTTCCCTCTGTCCTGAAAACCTATTCAAATTTCACCTGCTCTTTAGTTTCAGCTCAAGTATCCCCTTGCTTAAGAAGTTCTGCAAAACCAGCCCAATCTTCAAGCCTTGTCATTCTGCATCCCATATACTGTGCATTGACCTCTGTATTCTCCAGGCCACTCAGAGGGAAGAAGTAGAGGGACATGAAGGAGTCCTGTTGTTATTCCCACTTTGCAGATGAGCTAGGGTCATATTCAGGCTTTGACAGAACACAGAGTGTATGTGTGTGCACGCATGCTTACAGCAGTGGCCATAGTCATGTGTAGCCTAGAAATCAACTGGAGCTCTGGCAGTAGATGAGTCTGGTTTGGGGTTATTGGCTGAGGTAGTTTTATATGCCTGTGACACTGTGTTGGACATACCACATGATCTCTCTGAACCTTAGTTTCTTCATCAGTCAAATGGGTACCATAGGAGATGCTACTTCACATGGTTATTGTGAAAGGAAAATGAGATCATGATTGTAAAATGTTTCCCATTTTGGTGCCTGGTACAGATTAAAGCATCCAGGAAAAGTAGTGTATATGTGTGTGAGTGCACACACCTCACCCAATTCCACATTGCAATCTGTTCTCTTACAATAAAAGACAATAGCTTACACATGGGGCATGGTGGCTTATGCCTTTAATCAGTGCTTGGGAGACAGAGGCTGGAGGATCTCTGTGAGTTTCAGGCCCGCCTGGTCTACACAGAGAGTCCCAAGCCAGGCAGTGCTACATAATGAAACCGTATCTCAAAAAATAAAAATAGAAGGAAAAAAAAAGGACTATTTTCGAGAAACCCTATTCTCTCTAAAGGTCTGTGTCTGAGAGCAGTAAGTTATTGAGATGCAGGGGCTATGCCATACCATTGACTGGAACTGTATCTGCATAAAAGAGCAGGTATTTATGTCATACAAATACAGAGGTGGAGTTTTAGTACTGTGTTGTTGTACGGTCATCCTTTGCCTCTGTCCTTTAGACCATGCCCTTGTGGGCAAACTGAGAGTTGGGAACCTCATATTTGCAGAGGTGTGTGTTATTCCCGCAAACTCATGGTGTCTGTTTCACCAACTGTGAGAATGCATGTGCGTATTAGGGAATGTCTGAGTAGCAAACGTGAGGCTATACAGGGTTTGTCACTTTATGGGAGCCTGGACTCTCCTGAGTATGGATGAATGTCTGCATGAGTGTAAGCATGACTGTGGGGTGCTGTTTACAGCTGTAATTGAGGGCAATTATGGAGGTTATAGTATGTGTGGTGGGTACACAGGTGGGTGGCTGTGCTGTGCAGGACTGGATCTAAATCTGAGTGTGCACATTTGTTTTTAGAAGAGGACATATATTTACACAGCCCTGCTCAGTTTGTGTACAAAGGAGAGGGCTGACTGAAGCTGTTAATGTCCATTTGTATTTGTTAGTGCAGGGACCTTTGAGTTTGAGGGTCTGTTTGGGGGCTTGGGTCTTCTACCTAAATGCCTGGGTCTCTGCCTTCCCCCCAACTCTCATTATCACTAGAATCCTACAGAAGGCAGAAAGTGTGGCTAAGTAAATCCTGAAGTGAAGGTGGCCACTCTCCGGGGAGAATTCCTTCCGAAAGTATTCTGGGGGGAACTACTCTCTCACCCCCACTAGCACCCTCTGCCTGCAGCCCAATCCCATCCAGCAGCCGGTAGGAGCTGGTATAGCCTCTGTGCAAGAGTGTGTATGGATGCCTGCGCCCTGGAGAAATGATGTAGGCAGGTAACCTTTTGCATTTATCTGTACACAAAAGTGTTGGGCTCAGCACTGCAAGAGTATGCCCACATGGAATCCAGTTCTGCAGATGGGTTGACCATGAATTCCTCCGGCACTTGTGAACGACTTGTGTCTAAGGGAGATGGGTGCCCTTGAGGGAGGGGCGGTAGTGAGAACTGGGCGGACGTGTGCCCGACCGTGTCTTTGTATGCTAGCGTGTTATGAGTCTCTCAATAGCTCGGAGTTTCTGTCTCTGCGTCTATGTGTGCATGTCTCTGGGTCTCTGCCTCGCTGTGAGTGTCTCGCTCTTCCTTAACGGGGAGGGGATTGGTCACGCATGACTCATCTTGAACGGAGCGGGGCTCCAGCGGCAGGGCGGTCGCCGCCACAGCTGGAAGGGGAGGAGGGCAAGGAGGAGGGAGAGGAGAAAGAGGACTACCAGGAGGGGGAGGAGGATAGAAAGGAGGAGGAAGAGGAGGAGGAGGAGGAGGGGGGAGGAGGAGGAGAGATGGGGGAGGCAGAGGGAAGAGAATAAAGAGTTAATTTTTTCTGGCACATCATAATCCAGTAACGACTTTATCTCTTTAAACTGATAAATAGCTGCCTTGGCAAGGAAATCTGGCTCACTAAGCTATGTTTAATTGTGGTCGCCGGCTGTGGCTGCTCTCCTCTGGCTATGGCCACTCTCCTGCTCTCTTAGTTCCTCCAATCAGTCGTCTGGTCCGGACCCCAGGGCTGGTTGTCCGGACCTTCTTCCGAGACAGCTGCTCCGGCAGCCGGGGAGGCCGGGACTGCGCTCAGGCCCGGGGCGGGGGCTGGGGCTGGGTGGGGGGCCGCGGGGCCGAAGCCTGGGCTCTGCGGCTCGGGCTGCAGCCTCTGGCCCAATTGCGGCCGGGGTCCCCCTGCGCGTGGCTCTCGGCGCTGTGCGCCGGCGGAGCCGGCCGCTGCTGGGCCCATGTACTGGAAGCATGAGAGCGCGGCCCCGGCGCTGCCCGAGGGCTGCCGGCTGCCGGCGGAGGGTGGTCCGGCCACCGACCAGGTGAGCGAGCAAGCGATCCAGGGGACGAAATAGAGAACTGCCGGGATGGGGGCGGGGAGGGAGAGCCGGAGCCGGGACCGGGGCGGATCTGGCCGCAGCAGGGAGGAGAGTGAAGGGATGCGCCGGGGAGAGAGTGTGCGAGCGTGTGAGCGAGTGTGTGAGCGCGCGAGCGCAAGCGGGGCGGGGGGGTCGTGGAAAGCGGGAACACATTATGCAAATGTTGGAGGAATTTCTCAAAAAGCGATTTAGCAAAGACACAGGCGAATCAAGAGGAGGCGAGGCCGGTATTGTCCGCCTGAATAGGCGCTGATAGCGCCGATGCGCCGGGGGTTGTGCCGGCACAGCACTGAGAATCCCGACGCAGGGCCGGTCCCGGGCGCGTCGAAGGGCTGGAGGGTGCCTTTTCCTCCTCCAAGAGGCCTCTCTTCTCTCTCTCTCTTTTTGTTTGGCCTCATTTCACCCCGATCTCGCCCCCTTTGGCTCCGGGTTTCCCTTGAACTGGCCCTCCAAACGCGCTTGAATTCCTGTCAATATTACCGCTTCAATTTCGCCACGCGCGTCGGGCTGGCGGGCGGTAGCTCCTAGCACTCTGGGTTTTATTTTTCTCAACCACTACCATCACCACCCCCGTCTCCTTTTTATTTTCTTTCTCTCTTTTCTCCTTTTTGCATTTTGTGCCGAGAGGAGAAGGGAGTGGGGGGGGGGCTTGTGGAGGGAGAAAAAAATTCGATTTTTAATTACTACCATTAAAAAATCAAATTTGCAATTCTTTGGGCGGCCTGATGGATCTCACTGATTGACAGTCGGAATTGACACTCTGGCTACCTCTTATCTTGGGCATTCACGACAATTTCTAATTGCAGGTAGTTTGTGTGTGTGCGCGTGTTTTTTTCCCCCCTCGGAGGCTTGGATTGCAAGGGAACTAAGCGATTACTTCAAGAGCCACGGGTTAAGTGCAGGGAGAGGGGGAGAGAGAGGGAAAAAATCCAATCCAAATTCAAATTGCTTCATTAGAGAGACACCGCTTTTGTGGGGAAGGGCTTTAAATGCCCACTACAAAGTTAGGACTCATTGTTCGGCGCCGGTTTATATAACAGGCACTGGGAGGCGCTGGGCTCAGGCAGCAAGGAGCCAGTTCTGCAGCGGCGGTCGCCTGCCTTCCCTCCCCCCTCCCCCAGGTGATGGCCCAGCCAGGGTCCGGCTGCAAAGCGACCACCCGCTGTCTGGAAGGGACCGCGCCGCCTGCCATGGTGAGTCCCTTCGGCTCTGCCTTCGGCCTTCAGTCCCCCAAAAGCATAGTCCAGGGCATCTGGCCCAGCTTTCTGGCAACCGACCTCTTGCCATGCTCTGGGGTACTCCCGGCGGGCGCCGCCCCTCTCTGAGCCTTGATTTTCGGGCCTGAAACGTGGGTTTTGACTGTTTCCTGCACCCAGGATGCGCGAGATAAAAGTTGGGGGCCGTGTCTTCCTCTCCAATAGTCCCTTCCATTTTTGTCCTCTATCTCAAGGTGCGGTATCCCAAGCAGATTTCGTTTGTCAGTGGGTGCGCAAGGGGACCAGATTTGTCTCTGAGGCAGAGGAAACTCTGGGTGCCCCCCCCCTTCCCCCCTCAGCGCTCTGAGGTTCGGTTTCCCGGTTGCAGGCTCAGTCGGACGCCGAGGCCCTGGCAGGCGCCCTGGACAAGGACGAGGGTCGGGCCTCCCCATGTACGCCTAGCACGCCTTCTGTCTGCTCGCCACCCTCTGCCGCCTCCTCCGTGCCGTCTGCGGGCAAGAACATCTGCTCCAGCTGCGGCCTGGAGATCCTGGACCGGTATCTGCTCAAGGTGGGTCAGGGTAGGTGTTGTCTGCATGTTGGCGGGTGTGGGTTGCAGCCCTGGGGGCTGTAGGGAAGCGACGCCAGTGACAAGTCCATTTTATTCGAGTGTGGGTTCAGTCGCTGTCGGATCGCGCAGCTTTGGGCAAGTGTGAGAGTCTCCTTCCGCCCCAGGTTCCAACTGAGAAAATCGAAAGAGTGTATTTTTATGTCCTTGAGTCTTAGCATCTTAGTAGAAAACTAGGGAAGTCACTCGCCGGTTCTGAGCTTCAGTGTCTCTGTCTGCGAATGATGCTGGGGAGGCTGGGGCTGGGCGTGAAGAGGCCCGCGCTGAGCCGACCCCCATCCCCGCCCCCTCCCCAGGTCAACAACCTCATCTGGCACGTGCGGTGCCTCGAGTGCTCGGTGTGTCGCACATCGCTGAGGCAGCAGAACAGCTGCTACATCAAGAACAAGGAAATCTACTGCAAGATGGACTACTTCAGGTAGGCTGCGGCCGCGGGGCCAGCCGTGCAGACGCGTGCAGGCCTTGCGCACGCATACCCAGGCCATTTTTGCGACGTGTGGTCTGCAACTCCCAAACCCTGGCATCCCGAGTGCACCGCGCGGCACTCGGGCCCAGTCCGCCTGCTCCTCATGTCGCAAACTGAAGGCTCCGGGTGGAGCGCCAGTGCCTACACAAGTTCGGGCGGGCTGTCTGCCTCGGGTGCCCGCAGTCTGACCGCTCTTGGCCACGGTTCTAGTTCGCTCCGGGTCTGGCCGGAGTCTAGGTTCCAGTTATGATTGCAAGGCCCCCTGTCGAGCTCCGGACGTCCGTGACTCTGGCTGGGATCTGTTCTGATCCTAGTCGCCTTCCCGCTGCGTCTCGGGTGCGCTGAGCTCTGGTTCCAACCCAGCTTGGTCTCCAGCTGCGCTAAGGCTTGCTTTAACTTTGCGCTGCTCTCAGTTCTAGTCTCAGGTCTGCTCTGGACCCGAGCGCCAGCGTCACATCCACTTTGGGCCTATCCCACAGCCTAAACGCCAGCCTCGACCTCTGCCTCTACCTCAACCAATGCCGTAGTGGTTCGAATCTGGGGTCCCTGGGTTCCAGGCGCCTGCGTTTTGGCCCAGCCTTCCGCCTCTGCTAGGTATCGGTTCTGGCTTTGGGCAGCTAGGACACCGAGGGAGCGATGCAGGCGTCGGGATTCAGAAGGGCTTGTTGCTTTCCCCTAGGGTCCACTGCACCGCGGATGCCGAGCGTGTCCCTGCAGCCCACGATCGCTGACAGTGTCAGGGTCCCACTCGGCTTCCACGGTTCAACCTCTTGCAGGTGCCTAGTCTGGTAGCAGGGGCCCGACCAGGTTCTGGTGTTCAGGTCACTGCAGTGCCAGGGGCCCCTTAGATGATCTGCCATAAGCCCTGTGAACTAGTTCCTGGGAGGGATGCCTGTTTTTAAATGCTTTCTTCAGGAAGTGCTCCAGAGTATACCTCTCCCCTACCCTCACTCTCATATGTTCACCCTTCTCCTTGGAGAGAAGTCCTGGCTCAGTCTTCTAAGAAGACCCCAGCCCCAGAAAGAGTTTCACAGTCAGGGAATATTGTGGACCCAAACCCTCACCCTCCTTGAGCTTCCAGGAACCTGGAAAGAGTCTAGAGGGAGGCTGGCAGCATTTGGAACTGAGTTCTCCGAAGAAACTATGGAAAGTGAGATTAGGAGAGTTCCTTCAGTCCCAGAGATGGAAGAAAGGGCAAGCACACAGGGTGGAGTAGGGTGCTCTGCCTGTCAGACCCAGGCCTCTGTGAGCTGGGAACATGTGTATCCCTATGGCCTGGAACCTGAGGTGGTGCTGGGGGGTGTGTCACTGAGCAGGGTCAGAGCTTGTAGACTCTAGTTGCTTCTTTATAGGCAAACATTTGTCTCTTTGTTCATGTGTGACTGGGGAGAGTATGGATCTACATGTGGATGTGGAGACTATGTGTGAGTATTTGCAAGGTAATCAGGACAGGAAGCACATCTGGCCCAGGGTCTGCAGGTAGGAGGGGACTAGGAGTAAGAGGATTCTGAGGTACCCTCCACCTCCACCCTCTCTCTGAGGGGACATTCTGGAGGGTGTGGGTGTGTTGTGAAGGTGTACTTTTGACTAAGGACTGCTGTGCATGTGCACAGGCAGAAGAGTTTATGCCTGTGTGGTGTATAACCTGAGTGTGAGGTCACGTCTGACTATTATTTTGGCTTAGGCAGAAAATGGACACTGGGGTTACTGGCTAGTCACCTCCATGCTCTGAGCCTGACTCCTGCTGGGGAGAGGAGAGCCCACTGCTTTGGGGCCCTTTTGGATGTGGCTGCTATTAGGGAGCTTGGGAACCCAGCAAGATGGTGCCTAGTGTAGAATAAAGCACAACAGGACACCTCTCTTGGCATAACAGCCTAGGCAGCCTTACCCTGTGCCTGAATTTCTTCCTTTCTTCTCCATGCTGGAGTGGAATTCCCTGGGTGCTATGATTCACCAGACTCTGAAGGACCAGTCAAAACTAGCCTCCAGTAATTCTTCATCTCACGGCAGGTGGCTTGTGTAGCCAACGGGGGGGGGGTAGAGTTCTGTGACACTAATGTGACCTTGAGCAAGTCACTGCATCTTTGCTCTGAATACTCCATTTCCAAGATTGTCTCTCTGAGCTGCCAAGAAGGCCAAGGAGAGGCAGCAGTCTCCAGAAAGGCTCACTAAATGACAGTGGCTGAGTGTTTCCATTGTCACCATTGTGATCACTGACAGGCTGGATACCAGGCATGATGAGCCTGTGATGGCATTCCCCAGGCAGCCTGAGGAGCAGGACCCGCCTGTTGGATGAGGCTTGGGCATTTCTGATGTGTGCATTCTGAGTACTAATCCATTTCCAATGACAGGCGATCCCAAAACAAAACTAAAACAGATTTTGAGTTAGGAAAATGGAGTGAATAAAAGCTTACTTTGCCTCAATGAAGGTAGAATCGTGGCTTTTCTGATCAGTTCTTTCCCTGCCAGATCTCCCAGCAGGCATAGCTCATCTCTGGCAGCCCCACTAGTAACAGAAATAATAAAACCCACCAAAAGGCAAAGAAAAAGCCTGCAGAGCACCAGGCAAGGACTATTGTCTGCCTGAGCAGCAGCATAAGCTCCTCCTGAAGAGGGCTGAATAGTGGTGTGTGGGAGGCCGGCCGAGCTCCCACTGAAGAGCTGGGGCTCAGCAAAGAGCCAGCTAAGTTTCTCTAGGCCTCTGTTTCCTGAACCCGAGGTCAAGGGTCTGGTGGGGTGTAGACTGAAGTATTCTACCAAACAGAGGCAAGATCTTCGAAGGGGTAAAGGAGGAAAGGAAAGAGAGTGGCCAAGGCCCCAAGGAGGAGGCACTTTGGGCTCTCAAGATCTTTTAATCTCTGACCTTGCCCCACCTCCAAAAGGGTTTTCCAGGATCCTATTCCCCCCCCCCACCTTCCCTGACATTATCTTGTAGATCTTTCTTCAGTTTCTAATTGGCAGAGCTTATGTTGGTAGTTCAGCAGTTAAAGGTTATGAAGAAACTCCAAGTTCAGCAGGGAGGGAGGTTGCAAAGCATGAGGGTGGGGGAGGGCCAGTGCTGTCTCTGGCTTATTTGCATTATGAAGGGAGTTGGTTTCCCACTTAGTGCCCTTGACCAGGTCTCTGGACTTCTCAGCCTCAGTTTCTCCAGTTCATCCTCTAAACAAAGAACTTACCAGCCCTGTGGGTTCAACTTGATTCCCACCTACCCCCACTGTTGGCAAGACCTGACAGAAAAATTAGATTACCAACAGGGAAATATTTATTTTAATTTCTTTACTTTTTTTTGTTAAGACTATTTTTCTTGATTTTTTTTTTCCCGAAGAAGTGAAGAAAATTCTGGTGTGTATGTATTGGGGGTTGAGGTTCATGTTCCTTTTTGGAGCATGTACTTTTCCATTGCCATCAGCAACACCACCCCAGGACAGCTTCCTATAGCCCCCTCTCACCTACAGCTGTTACCTCATGGCGGACTGGCAGTGCCCTCCAAATTCCCTCAGCCTCCTCTGTCCATTGGGTAGTAGAGGAGACCCATGTGCTAGGAAATTGGAAAGTGACATGCCCAGGATCACACAGTGATTGAGAACACAGAGTAAGGTTACCCAGCATCAGGATATACAGATTTCTTATATCAGGAAAGGCTAACATTTTGCCTGCTGTATCTTGTATCTAATTTAATCATCTGACCAATCCTGTATGATATTGTAATAACTCCATGTTATAAGAGGGGAAATTTCGAGGCCCTGAGATGTGAGGTCAAAGAGCTAATAAGTGGTAGAGCTCAGATAAACCCCACAGCCACCTAAATCACACCCCTTCCTCTAATACTTCCTGAAACTCTTCTTCTACAGTCACAATATGACCATCATTTTTGGATACATTTTATGGAATGGCAAAGGCTCTCTTCACTGTTCGTAGGTTTCTGAGTCCAAAATTTAGGTGAGAACATTAGTAGAGAGCATTTGCTGTATGCTGTGATATGTGACTCTCCCTGGGTGGCCCTGGGAACACTAAAAAGAATGATCTCTTCAGAAGTCCATGACTAGCAACTTTACTCATGCTGCTCCCTAGTCTTCTACCCTTTGACAATGAGAATGGAGAACAAAGGGTTATTGAGGGGTTGGGGGAGGTTCTAGAGCTTCACTACCACTGAAGTTACTGTTCCTTGCTTGGCTCACACCACTTAGAGCAAACCCCCAGCCTTCTCTGAGCTTCTGCTTTGAGCCCAAGCTCTGTCCCTGGGCTTCAGCCTCTTCCCTCAGAGTTAGGCTCCCAGGGGAGGCTAAGAGGCTGGAAGTGCCCCCCCCCACCATGGTGTAGAGCTGCCCAGCAGCCACCAGCTGTTGGGGGACGGATGTTGGAGAACCCACAGGGGAGCTAGGAAAGGAGGAGCCTCAGGCCAGGACCTCCTGGCAGGGTTGAGCCACTGTTTAACCTCTTCATTGCTGGTTCTGTATTTTTCTCCTAAGAGTTTTGCCTAGAAGACGAATTTTGCCTGTAATGTTCCTTATTCACATCAAGAATAAGCTAAGAATAATCTAAAGCTATCCTTCTTGAGCATCTGAAACCCAGAATCTAGTGAACTTCTTTCAGCACCAGGTTGGTAGGCGATCCCATCCAGCACTTTGGCTTCCCCAAGCAGAAAGGAGATTGTTTAGTAAGTGGGGTTGGGGAGGATTTGGCTTATTTCTAGCCGCCCCTCCACCCAACAATAATAACTGAGCATCTACTAGGTGTCCAGGGGAAGTAGACTTGGAAAGTGAGCCTGACTTGGTCACTGCACAGTTCCCTCCTCAAAATCCTGGCATCCAGATCCTTGCTGTCCACTGACCGAAGGAGTAGAGGATCTAGCGGTGCGTGATGCCCGAGCTCCTCTCTCTCTCTCTCTCCTCTCTCTCTCTCTCTCTCTCTCTCTCTCTC